GCCTTCACGAGGTGCTCGTTAGTACGGCCTCGGGCTGCGCACAGACAGCCCCCCGAGTAGACCGGGCCGGTCTCAGCCTTGGGGCGTGGAGCGCCCCAGGGGCGCCATGCTGTGGGCGGGAAGAGAGGGCGACGGCCGGCAGTGGGGCTGTGGTGGCAGCTCGGCAGGCTCTGCCGCGGCCGTCCGGGTGTGCCAGCAGGTGCAGCGCCGCACGCGTGCCCTGCCACAGACTTGGCGCCCAAACGGCTACGGAGGGCAATCCCTTGAGGGTTCCTCAGCTCTTGCACTCAGAGTTCTGTGCGACAGTCTCACGGGTGAAGGGCGGCCAGTTCCTGTTCAGGCCAGGGCTCTCCCTCGGCCTCCCCCCGCTCCGTCGCGAGCGGCGGTGGCAGTCGCCATGCCGTTGGCTGGAAGAGAGGGCGGCGGCCGGCAGCGGTGCCGTGGTGGCAGCGCGGCGGGCTCTGCCGCGGCCGCCCGGGCGTGCCAGCAGGCTCGGCGCCGCATGCTTGCCCTGCCACAGGCTTGGCGCCCAAATGGCTTGTTCGCTCGCTCGTGCCGTAGGCTGTGGCAGCCCATAGGTGTGCACACTGGCAGGTCAATCGTGCAGACATACATGGTGTACTCTTTAGCGCCACGTGGAGGCGTCACTCACTGCATCTTGAAGTCGAAAACCCACGGCCAGGGAAGGCTACGGTCGGGAACTTTTGCTTAGCATGTCGCCGCGGCCGCCCCGGCGACAAGCTATGCCCAGCGAGCGGATAGCATGTCGCTCCGCTCAGCGGGGCGGGAGGCTGGGGAAGCTCGGGACGTCGACGCTCGGGGACTGCGACGTGGATAGCGTGTCGCGCCGAAGCGCGGTGGGCCAGAACCAGCGGAGCGACACGGTATCCCAAAGTTTCCCGCTTGAGAGTCCTCCCGGTTTTGCCATCAGAACTAAATAGCTGTACAGCAAGTTCACGGATGGAGGGCGGGCGGTTCCTGTTCAAATCAGGGCTCTCGCTTTGATGGCAGACCCCTGGGGCTCTATATCAGACATTTGAAACGGGATTATTGCAGGTACTTCTTATATGGGGACTTGGGACGGGAGTTTGTGCTGCAGCTTTGTTGAAGCACCCTGGGTTTACCCTAGTCCTCCTCCTGCTCCAGGTCGCGCCTCCCCTTCTCCTGCTTCACTTCCCACTCTCCTCGCCCCCTCCGTCTCATTCTCTTACTCTTACTAAGTCCTCGTCCTCGCCCCCCTCCAAATCTATCACCCTCATCGCCTTCCCGCTCTTTCTCATCCTCCGCCTCGTCGTCGTCGTCGATATCCTCCTCCCCCGTCAACATTCCTGCCTCCTCCCCCCTCCTCATCATTCTCCTCATCGTCCTCCTCGTCCTCCTCCCTCGTCCTCCTCCTCCTCCTCTTCCTTCTCCTCTTCTTGGGGGGAAGAAGGGAAGGCGGGGGGGAAGGGAGGGCACGGGGCAGGAAGGGAGATCGGCCAAGAGTGCAGGGGGGAGTTGGAGGTGGCGGGACGTGGGAGAAGCCGTGGATGGAGGACGAAGGGTGGAGGGGGGAGGGGCGGGCAGTTGGGGAGGGGAGGGAAGAGGAGGAGGAAGGGGAGGGCCATGAGGAGGGGAAGGAAAGTGGGAGTGGATGGGTAACTTACTAAGGAAGTGAGGGGGAGGAGGGGGACGGGAAGAGGGGAGAGGGAGGGGGAGCAACGAGGCGGGGAAGGGAGAGAGGGAAAGGAGAGGGAAGGGGGGGTGGAGGGGTGGAAAAGGAAACATGAAGGGACCAGGGACGACCAAGGTCTAGTATTCGAGCTGAGGGCGAAAGCTAGCCGAACGGATTTGTGCAGCTCGAAGCGGGGGGAAAGACGTGTGGTGGGTCCGCAGCTGCAGACATTATTGCTCACTCAGATGTGTCATCCGAGCGTTTACACGATTGGGCAATCACAAGGCCAATTCGAAGATGCACCGAGCCCGTCCCGATGGTGCTCTGTGATGCGCGGGCCCGCGGTGGTCTGCTCCTCGGCACGGCGGCAACAACACAGCCGAGGCCAGAGCAGGAGAGAGCGGCGGATCAGAAGCGAGCGGCCGGGCAGAGCAGCAGCAGCCCCGACCGCGAGGGCAGGAATGAGGAGAGTGGCCCGGTGTCCTATCTGCGACGCGCGAGCACGGGCATCGAACAGTAGCGGCTTCGAGCGATCTCGTGCGAGCATCGTGCACCGAACGCCTCCAACGGGAGGAAGGCTCGATGCCTGATGTGCGACGCCCGAGCAGCGGGCGTCGAACATGGGTGGTGAGGCTTCGGGTTGCGCACAGGCAGGCCCCCCGGCAGTCCCAGCTGGCCTCAACATGCCCCCCGAGTAGACCCGGCTGGCCTCGACGTGCCCCCCGAGTAGTCCGTGGCGCCGCCCCGGACTACTCCTGCTGAGGCCAGCTGGGACTCCTCATTGGGCCGGCTGAGGCCAGCTGGAACTGTCTGGAGGGGGCTGTCTGGGCTCAACCCGAAGCCTTCCCAAACATAGGCATCGACAAAAATCTTGAGCAACTCCGACCGGGGGTTCCAAAACCGAGCGGTGCCGGACCGCGTGGTGATCTCGGAACCCCAAGAGGCCTCATCGCGCGGTCCGTCACCGCAAGGTCTTGGGACCTCGGAGGCCCCGGTCGCCCGAGAAGTCCTCGGAAAAGGACCCGAGTCCCAAAACCGTGCGGTGACTCCAGATCCCCGCCGACTCACCACGCGGTGAGGTCCCCACACCGTTCGGGGGCCTCCCGAGGCTTCGCGAGGCTCGGAGCGAGCGTCGTGCGCCGCACGCCGCCAGAGGCACCGCGGGGCAGCAGGCGGGCGGAGGAGCAGCAGGGCACGAGCAGCCGGGGTCAGGTGCGGCCCGCGGAGAGGGGCGAGGCGGAGGAGGAACCCTGGGGGTGCGGGCTCCGACGTGCACGCGGGCTGGGATGGAGAGGGCAACGGCGCGCGCCGCGGGTGAGGAGGAGCGAAACGGAGAGGGCATTGGGTCGTGGATGGGCGAAGCGGAGGAGGCACCAGGGCCGATACAAAACGGTCGACGTCCACAGCATCGACGGCGACGTCGACGTCGACGGCGACGGAGATGTCGACGATCGACAGCGTCGAGGGCGGCGCCGACGACGGCGATGACGGCACGACGCCGACGGCGGCGGCCGGCAGCAACGGCGGCTGCAGCAGCAGCGGCGCGCGGGGCGCTTGCGTGAGCACTGGCGCAGTGCGCATTGGACATGTAATCCAGGCTCTGGAAGCTGGTGGATCACCAACTGAGGCTTGGCCATGCATATCACCGCCGCCCTCATCAGATAAGGAATCCTCCAGGGTCTGAAGCCTCCTGGGCACATTCCTTAACCAACGCCCCCTCCGTAAAAAGGACTGGCTCAGGGGGTGGCGGACACATTGTCTCGGAATCGACGATGCGCCCTCGATAGCGGCACCGCGATTCCTGGGCGGGGTGGGCAATCGGGCCCTTGCCGGCGATGGATGGGCGATTGGGGCGTTCCCACCTGAGCCTGTCGCCCCTGACGTCACCCCAGAGCAACGGTGGGCCCAGCGAACGGCAGCAAGCGGACAACAGCGCCACGCATCTTGAAGGACGCGCGGGGTGGTCGGCAAGGACAACGGTCAGGAAAATGTGCTTCTCGTGTCGCTGCGGCGGCCCTGGCGACACGCTACGCCCTGTAGATGGACAGCGTGTCGCTCCGCTCCGAGGGGCGGGAGGCTCGGAGGAAGGCTCGGAGGAAGGCTCGGAGGAAGGCTCGGGACGTTGACGCTTGGAGCATGGGACGCGGTGAGCGTGTCGCATCGAAGAGCGGTGGGCCAGGACTGGCGGAGCGGCACGCCAAGCGCAAGTTCCCGACCGTAGGTGGAGGACCAAACTACGCACATCACACGTAAACGCAGGCGTTATAGAAGTCGGGCCTGCCCCTACAGGCAGATTCTCGACGAAAAATAAAAAATGCAAAACATGCTCCAACATAGTCAAAAAATAATCATCAGCTCATCCCCATACCATTTTTTGACTATGTTCGAATATTCCTCCGGTAGAGGGACAAGCCCGACTTAACGCAAGCGTTAAAAGGTGCGCGCGGATTCTTGGAGCGGCGCTGCCCCACCCCCTCTGGCGGCGCCTTTGGCGCCGCCACTCTAGCGACGACAAGGGAAATGACCGCGGACTTCCGAAACACTATGTCTATGCCGCGCTTGGCTAGTTCTTCAAAAGGTACGACTGGCTCCCGCCAACAATCGCCGTGGCTGAACACCCGCATCCTGCACGCCGAGGTCGCCCACTGGCGCCGGGGCGAACAATGGCAGAAACGCGCCAAAATCATGGATCCGCGCCGGGTTGGATGGATCTATGGGAACGCGTGCCGCCCCCACGTCCCGAGGTCCGATGTCGTGAAAGAGCAACACACACGCTCAATCCTAGAGAGAGGAGGACGAGGGAAGGGCAAGGCGGTTAAGACACTGTAGATTTGGGTGCGAGCGGGGGCTGCTCTTCGACATCTCGCACCTCCAACCTCGGGTGAGTTTTGGCCTCGATGTTAGCAGATAGGTCTGGATGGATTATAGATTCGAGGGCTGGTTGAACGCTCATGGCCAACGTCTTGGACGAAATTGCAGCGCCCAGGAACACCGCAGCAAGTGCCCTTCAGCGGGAAAACCTACCGTTCTCGTGACGGGCTGCCTCTGCCCGGGTGCCAGATTCACGCGCAGGGTCTGATGCAAGGTGGCTCTGCGGGGCCCCTCGGGAGAGCTCGATGGAGAACTACGCTGAATACGGTCTGCGGCGCGGTAGAAGAGGCAGGGAGGGAAGGACGACCTCTCTGCCCCGTCTTTCGAGCCGGGCCGATCAGTGAGGACCCCCAGGGCCCGACATGGGGCAAAGAGCGCCCGTCGTGGCCCCCTCCAGGAAGCCCAGGTCTGAGGGAAAGGCGTCGGGGACCCAGACCCCCGACGACCTGCCCAGATGTGCTCTTCCTCCCCCCTTGTCCTCCTCCCTGTCCTCCTCGTCCTCCTCGTCCTCTCCTCCTTCAGGTGGAGGGGGAGAGGGAGGAGGAGCACACCAGCTGGAAGAGAAAGAGAGAGAAAGGACGGACGGCGAAGAGCAGGTGACGCAAGAAAGCCGGTTCATCGCTACTCCCTCTCTTTCTCGCGCACTCTCTCCCTCCCTCTCTCCCTCTCTTACTCTCATCCCTCTCTCTTTCTGGACCCGCCCCTTGATTGCCCGCAGGCGCGCCCTGAAGACAGAACTGTTACTGTGCTTCGCCTGCTCTTGCCCTAACTAGTAGGCATGCTATCCGCAACGCGTGCACATCATGGGTTTCAACTACCTCCTTATCATCCTCCTCACCGACTTCCCTCTAACCCTTCCTCCTCCTCCTCCCCTTCCTCCTCCTCCCTCCTCCTCCTCCTCCTCCTCCTCCCTTTCCACGTCGTTGTCCTCCGCATCCCTTCTCTTAGAATCATTGTGTGTGCTCAGCTTCGCTGTTTCCGTTTTGGCAGATGGATCAATAACCGCCCACAGACATGCGCGCCACAGAGCCCATCCCGAGCTCCAGCGTCTTGAACACCAGCTTGTGCTGACCTCCTTTGTCTCGAGGCTTCTGGCAGAGAGAGGCCAGAGCGGCAAGCGGGGAAGAGGCAGAACGAGCAGACTTAGACAGAGATGAACGCCAAAGTTCACGGCTCTTACGATTCAGTCCCAGAACAATACCCGGCCGATATCGCCGCAGCCTAGTCTGGACCTGAAGCGCAACGGCCTCGTGCCCGCATCGTCGAGGCCTCAGAGAACAAGCACACACACACACACACACGCACACGCACACGCACAACACACAGCGCACAGCACACAGCACACAACACACAACACACGACACAACACACAACACACAACACACAACACGAAACACGCAACACACAACACACAACACACAGCACACAACACACGACACACGACACACTACAGACAACAGACAACAGACAACACACAACACACAACACACACACACGTATAACACAGGATTCCACAAGCATGCAATTGCAGGGATCTGCGCGGATCTCTTGGAACGGCGCTGGAATTGCCATGACGGGAACGGGTCCCAGATTCTAGGGTCCGGTCCCATTCTTCATGCAGAATCGTGCTTTGACGGCCCCAGGGCCCTGGAAAGGCACACATAAATCGAAAGCCGAGAAAACCATCAAGACCCGTTTTTCTCAGGACCCGCCTTCTTCATGGCGACTGACCACCCCCCACACCCGCGCTGGACTCCGAACGTGTATGCTTATGCGGACTTTCCTGTCGCGCCCCAAGACGTGTCTGTAGGACGGGCCGGGCGTTTCGGTTGAAACGTCCTGCCAGCGTATGATCCTTAAGGTTGAAACTTGGAACAGCTTTACGGATGGAGGGCGGGTGATTTTCAAAATGTGGTTCTCGCCGTGGGGCCGCGCGCATTCGTCTTAAAACTTGGCAGCAACTTCAAATATAGAAAGCAATTCCTTTTTTTAGTTTTTTTCCTGGGGGGGGGGGGGAAATTCGGCTATCGTTTTAGCGCCGCGCACATTCGTCACACGTTTCTACAACAGTTCAAAAGATTCGTACGGTCGGAAGCCCGGAAATCAAATTCTGGCACGATTTAGGTTTGTCTGGACGCAGCAATCACGTTGATGCGCCGTGCTGAAAGTCCTAGAATGGTTTTCAGGCGCACGATTTAGGCTTGCCAGAACGCAGCAATCACATTAAAACTCGTCGTTGGGGTCCCAGGAACGATGTTCCGGCACGATGGAAGATTCTCAGAAGGCCACCTTCTAAAACATGCGGCCCCCGCAATAAAATTGCACGTGCTCCTTCAGGGACCGACGAACAATGAACGTGGAGGGAGGGTTTGTTGCAACATCGTTGGTGACCCTGGGTTTGCTGTGGCCCCCCTCCCCCACCATCCCGCTTTATCGTTTCTCTTTTGGTTGTTTTACTCGCCCCCGCGACCTCCGTCCGCGCCAGCGGCGCGGCACGCGCGCATCAACCGCCGCGGCCGCGGGATCTCTCCTGCACCGCCAGAGGACTATGCCGTTTTGGAAAACGTGGAAAAAAGCCGCCGTGCTCCTGCTTGATATTTCCTCCATGCTCAGGCATGGGGAATCCCAAAAGTGACGACACCTACAAATTTGCGGATGGCCCGCTCGGATTGCCAAACATAGATGCGGGCCCATACGGAAGGGGCTCCCGCCTGCGACTTCATCGCATTTCACTGACAGACGAAGTCCCCGCTGGAGATGTCCTCCATGTTCAGGCGTGGGGACCCCAAACATGTTGACGATTACAAGTTTGCAGATGACCTGCTCGGATTACCAACATGATTTGCAGGCCCCATACGGAAAGGGCCCTCCGCCTGCGACTTCTTCGCAATTCACTCACAAACGAGGCTCGCGCTTGATACTTCCTCCATGTTCAGGCATGAGGGCCCTGAAATCAGACAGCACATACAGTTTGCGGATGGCCCGCTCGGATTACCAGCGTGAAATGCTGGCCCCATACGGACAGGGGCCCCCGCCCGCGACTTCCTCGCAAATCACTCACAGACGAGGTTCCCGCTGGATACTTCCTCCATGTCCAAGCATGAGGACGCCAACAATGTTGTCAATTACAAATTTGCTGATGACCCGCTCGGGTTACCAACATGATCTGCGAGCCCCATACGGAAAAGGGCCCCCGCGTGAGACCTCCTCGCAATCAACTCACATACGAGGCTCCCGCTCGTGACTTCCTCCCTGTTCAGGCCAGGGGGGCCATTAGTAATGATGATGATGAGTGGTGAGTGATGAAGATGATGGTGGTGATGATGATAATGATCACGGTGTGGTTCCGAATGAATGAAGCGTGGCGAGCGAATGGGTGAGTGAATGAATGATGGTGTGGTGATGGTGGCTATGATGGTATCGCTGTGTTGGTGATGACGATGCTGCTGATGATGCTGCTGATGATGATACTGATGATGCTGCTGATGATGGTAATGATGATGGTGATGATGCTGATGATGATGATGATGATGATGAGCATGATGATGATGGCGACGGTGAGGTGTGAGTCAGTGAGTGAGTGAGTCAATGAGTGTGAGTGAGTGTTTGAGTGATGTGGAGAAGAGAGGGGAGTGGGTGACAGGACTGCGCGGGGTGTCCAGAGAGAACAAGAACCGCACTTAGGCTGTGGGGAAATGAGGGGACTTGTTTGATTTAGTTTGGCCTCGAGGGATGTGTTTCGGGCCCCAGGGTGATCAAACGTACCATCCAAATTAAAAGCCGACCCTGGAGAAGGCGTCGAGAGGCTTTGGTGGACACATCAGAAACACATTGTAACGTCGGACGTCTAGGTCCATTTTCCCTCTGTCCTTCCTGAATCCATCCTAGCTTCCGTCCTCGATCCTTCCACCTGCCGCCTGCAACCTCGGCCCCTCTTCTCCATGAACCTCACCCTGGCAGCCTTGGGCTCCGCAGTGGCATCGATGCTCGTGAAGAACGTTCCCCTGCGGACACCGGACAAACGACTGGCAGAGAATTCCGGGGTGTGTGCGCACGGCGTCGATGGAAGCAGCTGGCAAGATGCATATAACAAGCAACATGAAAAGGCCATAGCGCGGCCGCAAATGATTCGCAAGAAGTTGCGATATGTGACGAAGCGGGAAACACAGGAACAACAAGCTAATGATAGTTCAAGGGCGCAAGTGAGTGTGAGAGAGAGCGAGCAAGATGGCATGTCCGACGCAGGCAACGACTACACTGTCGAAACATGCAGGCGTATTCATCTATATCTGTGTATGTACTCGTAGTTCTCTCTCTCTCTATATATATGTACATATGGCGAGCCGCGTGGGGTGCATCAAGATTGACCGTAGGGGCGGCATGACCACGAACCTACGTGCCGCCGCGTGCGTCCGTTAGCACACGAAGGAGAATATCGTACGGCAGATTCGTGTAGTGGCGACTTCTGCGCCAGCTTCTGACACCGCGTGGATTTTCAACCTTGAATGATGGATGCTTTCCGCTAACAATTATCCCAGTGCGACCCTACATAGGAGTTGGAGCCCCTAGGAAAGCAGCATTTAGTACGAACAGTAAAGCTAAAACTAAGCTAAAGCTAAGTTAAACCTAAACTAAAGCTAAAGCTAAGCTAAAACTAAGCTAAGTTAAGCTCAAACTAAGCTAACGCTAAGATGAAGCTAAGCTAAAGCTAAGCTGAAGCTAAGCTAAGGCTAAGCTGAGGCTAAGCTACCGCTAAGCTAAACCTTAGACAAAGCTACGGTGCAGCTAAGCTAAAGCTAAGCTGAAGCTAAGCTAAAGCTACGGTAAAGGTTAAGCTAAAGCTAAGCTGAAGCTAAGCTAAAGCTACGGTAAAGGCTGAGCTAAAGCTAAGCTAAAACTAAGCTAAAGCTAAGCTAAATCTGAGATGAAGCTAAGGTGCAGCTAAGCTAAAGCCAAGCTGAAGCTACGGTAAAGGCTAAGCTAAAGCTAAGGTGCAGCTAAGCTAAAGCTAAGCTAAAGCTAAACTAAAGCTAAGCTGAAGCTAAGCTAAAGCTAAGCTGAAGCTAAGCTAAAGCTAAGCTAAAGCTAAAGCTAAGCTAAAGCTAGGCTAAAGCTAGGGTGCCGCTAAGCTAAAGCCAAGCTAAAGCTAAGCTGAAGCTAAGCTAGAGCTGAGCTGGGGCGAAGCTAAAGCTAAGCTAAAGCTAAGCTAAAGCTAAGCTAAAGCTAAGCTAAAGCTAAGCTAAAGCTAAAGCTAAAGCTCTCAGGGGACTGGGGGAACCGCTCCCAGGGGACTGGGGGAACCGCCCGGGGCGTGTTACACTGCCCGGCCCTTTAAGCTAAGAGAGTAAGAACCCTTCTAGGCAGAGCCTATGTAGGGAATAATCACGTGGCTCTGCGCATTTTTCGCCGCCAGAGATGAACAACAGATCCGATAGCACTGAAGGGCCTGCGAGCTGACCAGAGGCGTCACACAGATCGGAGGCACCCGAAGACAATAATCAGGATCCCCCAGCTTTGCTGAGCAGGAGGGTGAAAGGGGTAGGCTTGGGGATAGCCAGAAAAACTTGAGCCATCGTGTCAATGGACCGATGCTGCAAGGACGGCGGGGCTCCAACGCCGCAGACAACATTCCCGAGCAAGCACATACATGTGGCTCTGCTCATTTTTCGCCGCCAGAGATGAACAGCATATCCGATAGCACTGAAGGGCCTGCGAGCTGACCAGAGACGTCGCACAGATCGGAGGCACCCGAAGACAATAATCAGGATCCTCAATCCCAAATTCTTGGAACTGGCCAACGGCCTACGCGAAGCGCTTAAATAACAGCTCACATATATGTTCTACAAATAATTGCGGATATGGTTATGTAACTAAAGTCTTGAATTTCCCCATTGCATTCTTACCTGCGAGTTGCTCGTGTTTCTTATTTGTGGCCGAGCACCTGCCCCTACTCATGACACATCTCTTGAAAGCTGAGAACTCTGGACATCCAAAAGCCAGTAGGGACGTGTTTTTTTTTCTGCCACGGCGTCCCATACTGGCAAAAGCTAGAGGTATACAATTCGGCTCCGAGCCGCTTGAGCGAGTTGAAAGGGCGGGTCAGCCAGATTCTAGAGGTGAATGGATTTTCGATGGCGACGCGCACATGCGCCAGGATGCAAGCACGGGCCAGCGTAGCCGAGGCGCGCATCAACGCGTTGCCTAGGCGGACCTTCGCAGAATCCTTGTCACAGAGGCCGGGGGCACCGGGCAGCCCTGGCCCCGAATCTCGGAGGGGGGCGGGACCAGCCCCCCCTCTCCGAGCTCTGGACCAGGAGGTGCACGGGGTCCCCAGCCAGACGAGACGGCAGGCAGGCGAGACAGCGAGCTCAAGGAGGGCTGCCTAGGCCTCCGGTCTGAGGATGTCTTGGTTGGCCGAGTGCGCGATGTCAAAGGTGTAGACGCGGTGGCCCCTGCTGGCCAGCTCGAGCGAGAGGCGACGGCAGCCCGCGAAGACCTCGATGCAGTAGCCCCGCCTCTTGCGGGTACCAGGCGGCGGCTCAGCGACGCCGTAAGGGCGCTTGGCAGCGATTGCAGGGCAGACAGAGCCGCCGTCATCACGGCCCGCGGCAGCTGGGCCTCTTCTCGCTGAAGCCGGGCCGCCGCCTCGTAACGTCTCATCGAGGCGTCGGCACTCCACCGGCCGCGCTGCTTCACCTCCAGCGGCGTCCTCACATTTTCCCTCCTGCCCTCCGATGGCCCGCCGTGCCTCATCTGGTACAAGACATGCAGCTTCGTCATCCCGAGGCGCAGCTGGGCGGCCCTGAACAGCGCGGCGAAAGAGACCGTCGAGAATGGGAAGATCCTCTGGCTGGTCGCCAGCTTCACTGCGATCAGCAGCGCCTCGCCCACGAAGAGCCTTCTCGGATGGTCGATCATCAGGCTCTCGTTCGTCGCCATGGTCTTCGACGTCCGGCCTCTCTCCTCGGGGTGAAGGTTCAGTGCGACGGAGGACGAGGTCGGGAACATCGGCGCCGCGACGTCCGCCACCTGAAGGTAGAGCCCCTCCGAGGGCCTCAGGTAGCACGTGAAGCACAGCACCACCAGCAGCGCTGCCAGCGGCTCGCCCCAGTCCAGCATCACCTGCGCCACCGCGACCGCGACCAGCCAGGGCATCGGCGGCCGAGTGACCGCCGGCTCCAGGCGCGACCAGGCCAGGAGGGCCCGCGACGTGCGGGGCAGCGAGGCTCCCCCTCTGCCCGCCGACGGGATAGTCGCCTGCCAGGCTGCGTAGAGCACCTGCCCCGCGGAACGGTCGTCGCCGTCGGTGTACATCTCCCGCGCCAGCTCGGCCATTGCGAAATCGGCGGGCTCCAGCGAATTCACCAGAAGCCCCGGAGGAGGCAGAAGGCGGCCAGCCTGCGCAGGGCGCCGAGATACCTCGGCCACGACTGCGCCTTTACGGCAGCGAGCGCCATCGCGCTGGCCACTCCCAAGCCGAATGGGTGCGCGACCTCCACGATGTCTGTCACGAGCTCCGGCGACAAGGGCAGCGACCTGGTCAGCTTGGCAAGGCCCCGGGACGAAGCAGGGCGCCTCAGGACCGCAGCGGAGCGCGTCCGAGCCCTCCCAGAGCCGCGAGCCACCATCCGCCGCGTTCAGCCCGGACGGGTGCCACCGATGGTGCACCCGCACGTCGCCTGCGAGTGTAAGTGCGAGAAGACGCCTGCAGATCCTCAACAATCCTGGGGCGGAGGACCTGCCTTTCTCTGAAGCCAAAATGAGCGATAGATTATCCCCGAGATGAAGAAGTGAGCAGCCGAAAGACGCCAGAGAACGGAGCTCGTGCCTGAGGGCTGCCACGGGGCCCCTGCCTTCGAGTGCCATGATGTTTTCGACCTCCAGGAAACGAGCTGCGAAGTCGAGCTGCCAATCCTTGGGATCCAAGAGCTCCTGAAGGATCTCGATGAAGATGGGGTTCTCGTCCCAGACCTCTGGGGCCTCGACGGGGGCCACCGGCTTGACAGTGTTGATGCTGCTGAAAACGTCCGAGCCCAAGAGGGCGTGGTCGCGAGCTCTGATAGCGGGGGTCCCAGCTTTGTACCTAGACTTCTCCTTGAAGGCTCCAATCGACCTGACGACCTCGGAGCCCAGCATCCGCGAGCACACGGCATACCCAGACGGACACGCGTCTGACGAGGTGACCCTGGGGCTCCAAGGCCTATCGAGCCGCGCCCGGCAGAACGGCAGCAGCGCGAGGAACCGCCTGATCTCCCTGCACACCGACCCCCAGACACGGCAGCGGCTGACGGCGTGAGCCGAGATGAAGGAGTAGACGTGATGGAAGATAGCGAACATTTCACGACGCAGAAGGCAAAGGTGGGTGCAGTGGCCCACGAACCGCTCCAAAGCTTTGCCGCTGATGCGGGGGCGCCGAAGAAGCCAGAGCCCTGCGGCCCTCAGCAACTCCAGCTTGCGATCCGTGGGCACGACGAGCTTCTCGCGCCCCATGACCTTGCAGCCCAGAGTGACGGCGTCAACCGAGGGCCCCGAGATCTCATGGACAATGGACCCGATGCAACCGAAGTGATCGACCAACTCATCCCGCATCTTCCCTGTGCGCTGCGCGTCAGAGCCCACGACATTGATGTTGTCGGCGTAGGCAAGCAGCGCAGGCCGGCCGCCCGACATGTCGGGCGCAGGGCGCTCGTCACTCAGGATGCGATCAACGGGCACCGCCTGGCTGCAAACGGACTGGCGATAGACCGCGCGCTGAGCAACCCACATCGCCCAGCTCCAGCCCATCGGTACCACAGCCAAGCAGGGAGACACCATGCTGCCCTCTGGGAGCGCTGAGATGTCCGACGTCAGCCTGCACTTGGTCCTAAGCAAGCTGACATCGAGCGCTGGCAGGGCGAAGAACTCTGACGGCTCCTCAGGGATGCCCAAGTGGTAGAAGTAGTTCTTCAAGTCCGCCTGGGCGGTGAACACCTCCTCCTTCGGGCCGAACTCGAGATCCGCCAACTTGCTCCCAGACGACGTGTTCATCTTTGGGCACCTGGCGAAACGAGTGTTGACAGCTCTGCAGTCCCATGCAATCCGCAACTGCCCTGACTTCTTACGAACAAAGAACGGCGCGATGAGGTCCTGAGCGTCTGTCGAATACCTCAGCATTTTCGCGCGGTCCAGTCGCGCCACGAAGTCAGCATACTTGTGCACGTCTGCGGCCAGCGTCGGGTCCATGTAGGGAATCACTGGGCCCCCACTCTCACAGCGCTGGCCGAACTCATCCTCATATAGCATCATACGCGCTCGAAACTCCCTCAGGCAACGAGCCCCCTCGGGATCGAGAAAATCAAGTGCGGCTGGAGGCTGCTCCAACTCCTCCGGAACCGCGATCCGCGTGGCGTCATACCTGGCCACAGTACTTGGAACCTCTCCACTGTCGTAGACGAGGTCGGAGCCGAGAAGCTCGCGGGCGGCTTCTCGTTGCTGCGACAAAGAAAGCATTCGAGCGGGATCAACATGCCTCAAAACTGTGCGCTGAGCCGCTGCTTGGGCCGCGCTCCTGTCCGCCGTTGGCGGTGCTTGCACCGAAGAAGCTGGCATGCCGTAGAGCTCGTTCAAGGCCTCGATGCACTCGTTGGCCCTGACTCCCTCGGCGTGCCGATGTCGTAGGCGCTGGCGAACGGAATGAGAGAGATGCGGGGCGTCTGGCGTCGCCTCTTCAAAAAGCGGGAGCGGGAAGAGCTCCCTGGGCACGCGCCTACCCTCGCTACCCTGCGTCGGCAGGGGATAGCGGGGATGGCGAGCAAGGGGGGCCGGCGGGCCCAATCGCGGCCCCCTCGGCCCGCGGCGCGTCATTGCCCCCCGCCGCCTCCGGCAGGCGGCTGGCCACTTCCTCTGCCGCGACCCTTGCTGCGTGCGACGGCCCCCCCCCCCTCGCCTTGCGAGCCTCCTTCATGATCGCTGCCTCTTGCTTGAGCTGGTCTGCGACGTGGGCCGATAAGCCCGGCGAGATCGCCGCGCCTCCTGCACGACGGCTCCAGCCCATGAGCTGATCGGCGGCCGTGTAGTCGGGCTGGCTTGGCGAAGCTCGGTGGGCCTCCTTTATCAGGGCGAGCCTCCTCGACATGAGTTCGAACGCGAGCAACGACGGGCAGTTCAGCTGGTCATGCATCACCGCCGCGTCGAACATCCTGCTGAGCACCTCATGCTCGTAGACGCTCCTGTCCCCCGACGGCACCTTCGAGAGGCGGACCCAGTTCTCGTGGGCGTGGAAGGCACTATTCCCGTGGTCCCTCACATGCTTCATGAACCACAGGACCGTCCTCGGGCCCTGCAAGTCCCAGCCGCCAGGGATCGGCTCCTCAGACGAGCTGGCAACCGCATCGTCCCACGTGCGACGGCGCTCGCCTTGCACATCATGCTCCACCGCCGTCGTGCGTGCATCGCCCTTTGCCAGCACAAGTGCGTCGGCGACCGAGAGCAGCGCCACTGAGATGGATACCCCAGCCCCGTGGACGATGGCCCGATTTCCAAGGCTGAGGGCGCCAGCGGGGAGCTGGTGGCAGACGAGGTCCCCAATCGAGTAGCCTGTACGATCCTCCAACGCATACCAGCAGTTGCCTGGCGGCGGCACCAGCGCTCCTGCAGGGGCAGCGGCGGCTGCGGCGGCACCGCCGCCCAGCCCGGGCGGGATGCCGAGTGCGGCGCCCGCGGCGGCGCCGTCGGCGCCGGCGGCGGCCACGCGGCCAGGGGGCACGAGCGCTCCAGCCCCAGGGGCCGGCGCGGGGCCCCCAGCGGGCACCACCGCTCCCGCTGGCATGGCCGCGGGCGCGGCGGCTGCCACCGCGGCCCCGCCACCCGCTGCTGCCGCCCCTGCAGCCGCGCCGGGCGGATTGTAGTGCGCGACGAGCGGGAGCGGCGCGCACGGCACGCCTAGAGTGTGGGCCCCCAGCATCGCGTACGCATCGACGACGGCGTGAGCTGGCGCGGCCCTGAAGCCATAGATCTGAGCCGCCACTACACCTGCAGGGACCTCCAGCGCGTGCGACAGGATGTGCACACTCTCGAAGTCCCCGCCCACGGCGTACGTCTCCTCGTAGTGATCCTGGTCAGGTGTCACCCCGTAGCAGGCCGGCGGTCCCTGGACGGACAGCCACCACCATCCGAGCATGCATGATGCACGACAGGGCCTGGCACGCCCCGATATCTCACAAGCACATAGTCCCCAGGGTTAAGCGCCATCGTGACGCACGGCGGAGCTTCGGCTGACGACGAAGGTGAGCTGCGCATGGGCCTGCTGCCTCAGCGCCGTCGCGTCGTCCGTCACCGCCACTTGCGGCCCAGGCGAGTGCCCTACCCGCACCTCGCGGGTCGGCAGCCCCCACAGCGCACCGAGCAAGTAGGCGCCGACGATGAGCAGCGCCACCAACAATGCGCCGCCAGCCACCGTCAGCGGAGAGGGCGTCGGGCAAACGCACGTCGAGGCGGGCACCGCTGGGCAGTACACGACAGGTGCACAGGTCGGGCACGGATCGCGCCCCACAGGGCCGCCCCGGTGCTGATCCCGCGCGCGAGCTCCAGGATCGTGGCGCGGGCCACTTGCATAGCCAGAAAAACTTGAGCCATCGTGTCAATGGACCGATGCTGCAAGGACGGCGGTGCTCCAACACCGCAGACAACATTCCCGAGCAAGCACATACATTCGATATCGGCCGATCTCGTGCCGCTAGCAGCATTGAACCTTACACGCCCGCGCTAGGGTCGCCGCCGCATCGACACGGCACGAACCTGCCGTACACACGGGCTCGTAGGAGATCTACAACATGCGGGAACGTCATCCGTGTTGTCCTCCTCCGACGCGCACTCATCATGCTCTTGCCACTGGGTGCCGCGCGGGGCCAGCCGAGCGATCATGCGGCAGCTCGCCGACGGTCTCATTTTTTCCCGTGTTGAGATTGTGCCCGCAAGCGGTCAAATAGATAGCTCACGACATAACGCGCAAGACTGCGTCAACACAACATCTGCTAAAATATAAACTTGCTACCTGGAGTTCACATCATGTTGCTTGCATACCTCGTGAGCTCTTGCAAGCACAGGCGCAATGCTAGATTCATATGAATATGTTTATATAGATATAGCTAGTGCTCACATGCTGTGGTCGTGCCCATTGACTGCAACCTTAAGTTGTGAACTCACGCATCAAATTAAATGATGGATGTGCCCGCTCGGCTAGACTTACGTATCGAAAGCCCCCTTTCGACGAACAACCTTCACGCGAACCTTACAACGCGGCGATACTATGCCCAACGCCCCCATGATCCCAGGCGTCCGTGTTGAGGTACGTATGCACCTGGGACACAAATATGGTGAGATGATGAAGGTGGCGCCGGACCCCGTCGTCTTATAAAACGGGAGCTCACATCAATACCTACGGCGATGCACAGATGATGCGAGACTGGAAGGCCAACGAACAATCATCCCCGCCCTCGAATTCCAAAAACTTCCAATGGCAACAATTGAAATCAGCATCAGCAACATCATTCTCATCATCCTCACCTTCACCCTCATCCTTGTCCCCGTCGTTTCCAGAAATGCCTCGTCCTCGTCTCCATGCTCCTCCTCCTCCCCACCGGTCATCTTCCCCCCACCTCCCCCACCTCCGGGACGCCAGACGTCACAGACCGAGGGGAAAAAGGTGCAAGATAAGGGTGGAGAAGCCCGAGGCAACGCCCCACTGAACGCGTGCCCCCTTTTTCGGCACCCCGCATCGCGCCCACCACTAGGTGGAGCCCCTACTCACCTTGAAGCCGCGGGGTAGACCACACCACGAGGTGGAGATCCTGCTCATTTGAAGCCGCCGATGCCGCAGACGATCCGCAGCTGCTCGTAGGTGACCCAGAACACCAGCTGCCAGGGCCCGAGGCGCAACCAGCCCGGAAGGAAGCCCTTGTAGAGGGCCAGCGGGCCCTCGGCCTTCACCGTCTTGACCTGCCGCCGATGGGGTGGCGCACGGGAGCAGGCGCACACCAACGGCCCGCGTGGCGAAACGATGGTGATCGTTGCAACCACTGCTGCCCTGAGATCCAGGCGACGAACAAAATCACGACGATCGCTTTTTCGTGTCAATCTTTTTCTTTGGTGCCAGGAGGGGGCGCTTCACGGCCTCGAGGCAATCAAAAGACTACTCTGGATGAATGGCCGCCTCTGGGAAAGGGGTCGAGATCCCCAAGGGGCCCGTGCCACGAACACAAGGTGAGGAGTCGGAAGAGAGGGTGCAGCAAAACGCCGAGCGAGGATGCCATGCCACGGCGCCCGTTCCTCACACACTGCGAGCCGCACCAGCGCTCATCAATCACCCCTTCACGAATTTCACCGTATCGTGTTGCCGATTGCGGTCACGCACCCTGCGATTCTCTGGACGATCGCCCGAGAAAAGGGGAGATGACTGAGGGAGGGGAGGAGGAGGAGGAGGAGGAGGAGGAGGAGGAGGAGGAAATGGAGGTCGAACTATCTGGAACGAAGCGCAACTACCTACGGACGCCGCGCCCGTGCGGCCCAGACTGGTTTGTTGACGCGTGGCCAGGGCAAGGGCTTCAGTCCAACATGCGGCCATCACAAGCGGGTTCGGACAACCGCCCTTCGTATCCTCGTTCTGTGCAACGCCGACATTTAATCGTGAACCTTATGATGCAGATGCAACGCTTTCCAAATCGTTGCGCCAACGCTGTGCTACCGCCACCACCATCACCGTTACCGTCACCATTACTGGACAGTCACCATGGTCGTTGTCCTCAACATAATCATTATCACTAGTATCGGCATCTTCTGCCTCTTCTGCTCAAGCCCTTTCATTTTCCGCTCCTCCTGCTGATCGTCCTCCTCCTCGTTCTCCTCGTCGTCGTCGTCCTCCTCCTCCTCCTCCTCCTCCTCCTCCTCCTCCTCACCAACACCCCCTTTTTCTTCTTCCCCTTGCCCTCCTCTTCCCCTCTACCGCTTCCCACATCACTTCTCCCAGGGGGGGAGGAAGAGCAGGGAGGAGGAAAGGGAGGATCGTGAGCAGGCGTTGGAGAAGTAGAACGATGGGGAGAAGCGTGGAGAGCGATGCTGAGAAGAAAGTAAAGGGATCTAAGAAGGGGGAGGGGGAGGACGATATAGTCAACATGGGGGGTGCTAGCATGAGCGATGGTGGGAATTCGAGGATGATGACGAGGGAGAGAAGGAAAGGAAACGACGTGCATGAAGGAAACTAGCAGGAGGATCAGTGGATCATAAAAAGACTTTGAGGATAATGAAGATTGTCAAGCTCGCTACATGCTCAGAAGGTACCGGAACCATCTTTAGGTCATCGGCGAAACGCTGGAGACTGTGGGGCAGCTTGCGAGAAACCCGTGCTGCCAGAAACCAGTAAATGTCCGACAACGGGCCACATCTTTAAAGCAAGTGTGATGGCCGAAATTTTCGGACAATGGCCGTGGTGGAGCTAGTCCATGGTGCCACTGTTGGAGGCCTGGAAATGGGCACCAACACCAACACAGGAGGTTGCCTCTACAGGGGTCAGATGATCCTAGATTGTGATGTCGGTGGTACTAATTAGGCCACTTAGAAAGCCCGGATACTACCACCATCACCGAGATTGGGAGCATCTTCCCTCGGTGAAAGCACACCGCCGATCTTGGTGTTGGTGTCAACCTCTAGGCCTCCGACAGTGGCCGTGGCGGATCGAGCCAACGGGGAGGATGTTTACCCGGACGGTCCAATATGCAGTTTCGGCCGTGCCTTGAAAATGGTTGACACCCACCAGGTTCCTTTGATGAGGAGGAAGGGGAGACGGAGGAGGAGGCGGAGGAGGAAGGAGAAATATCACGAATATAATGAGGAGGCGATGAGGGGAAGGGAGAGAGAGAGAGAGGGAGGGAGAGAGAGAGAGAGAGAAAGAGAGAGAGAGCGAGATAGAGAGAAAGGGAGAGAGGGGCAAAAAGGGAGGGAGGGGACCGCCTGAGGATAAAAACGAACAACAGCAACAACAATATCAACAACAGCAGCAGCAGCAACAACAACAACATCAACAACAACAACAAACACATCAGCAACAACAACAACAACAACTACACAGAGGCTGTGAATCTGGTCCGCCCAATGCCCCCAGGATAACCAACCAAAGAGCAACCGCGGTCACTCTCCGATGCTTTTTGCGAAAAGAGGTCAGGAGGAAAGGATAAAGCGGACAGAGGAGGGAGAGGGCACAGGGAAGACAAGTTTGGTGAGTCCGCACCACATCTGACATCCTTCCCCTCCCACCCATCATTTCCATTGCGTTGGATCCTGTTCTAGCCGCCGACCATGGTGCCCCAGAGGACATTGATCTCCAATTTGCAGTTGCAAGGTTTGACCCGTCGTTCTTTTTGATTTGCTCGCGGGTGATCGTCTGCCGAACACTCCTGCCCGTGGCGCCGAAACGACGAGCGATGGGCCCGAAGGAAGGGCCGAAAGAGACGAGGGACGGACCCCAGGAACCCAGACAAAGCCGAGCGAGGGACCCGACCGAACACACAGGGACAACGAAAAATCGAGGGCCCGAAACAGAGTGCAACGAGTGTTAACTTAATTAACACTCCTTAAATCAAGCGGGGCGGTACTAGAGAGAGCTCTCAAGACAGCCTCCGCAACTCATCCACCACCCTCTCAAACAGCCCGCTTCCCGCGGTTGACACGTAGAGCGGGCCGATCAAGATGGCCATCATCGTCTGGTGGCCGGAACGAGTTCGGCGGGAAGTGGAACGGCGTTGCCTGAGCAGCATGTGCTCTGAGCCAGGCACGCGCCACGGCCTCCCGAGCATTCCACCAATCAGCACCAGGAACGACAGCGTGAGGTCGACGATGCACACGAACAGCTTGACCAGGTGCTCTGAACCAGACGTGCGCCACGGCATCACGAGCACTCCACCAAGCAGCACCAGGAACAACGACGTGAGGGCCAGACTCGGCCGTCACAGCCTCCTTCTGGAAGTCGACGTCGAGACGAAAGCGCACAGGTACAGCAGGCACAGCTTGAAGACCAGCAGGTTCTCGATGAGGAAAGAGTTTCTCAGGATCTCGTGGACTAGCAGGCTCTCGAAGACCAGCGGGCTCACGAAGATCAGCAGGCCCTCGATGAGGAGGAACATCGTATAGACCAGCAGGCTCTCGATGAGCAGCAGGAACATCATGAAGACCAGCGGGGTCTCCACGAAAGTTAGGCTCCAGACCAGCAGGCACTCGAAGACCAGCAGGCTCTCGATGACCGGCAGGCTCTCGAGGAGCAGGAACATCAGGAGCGTCACCGTGATGTAAATCAGGAAAGTCGCCGCAGCGGCTCGCATCTGTGGCTGGCGGTGCCCAGCAACCAGGAGCGAGCTCTGCATTCACATGAACAGGAAGTCGGGGCTGGAAAGGATCGGCCTCGGCGTTGAGCGGAAAGGCCATCATCTTCAGCGTCGACTCGAGGTCAACGGCCCGAACAGCCGCAGGCAGCGGCGGCATCCTCGCGCATGGCGGCGGGGCGTGGCGGCACCAGTTGCCAGTCTCCAGGGCGTCAATGGTGTCCTGGGGCTCCGCGTCGTCGAGCCCCACCAGGCGGGCCGCCGCGATCGCGGCACCCAGCGTGGGAATGTGGCCGCCCAGGCGATCTCCAAGGCGCCAGTGGGCGTCGAGGGCGACACGGAGGCCACGCAACCGGTAGGACATAGCGGCAGCCCTCGTCTGCCCGAGCTGCGCCCTCCGTTCGCGTCGAAGGCGCCGAGCCAGGGTCCGAGCACTCGCCGCAGCCCAGGCTTTGCCGCCAGCAGTGACAGCACGAGACATTGCGGCCGCTTGCGCGCATGCGCCTGGAGCAGGCGCGCTGGCGAGGGCCTCCCGAAGCGCGGCTCGCTTGAGCCAAAATGGCTACGGAGACCCATCGTTCGCTCCGCAATCGGATAAGGGGGCCTTTGCAAATTGAAGACGTAGGAGGTGATTGAGCACGAAGAAAGATCATACATATACGACCACCCTTCGGGTGCTAAGCAGGTTGTGGGGGGGAGAGTGGGGGAACTAACATCTGACTCAATCGATCTCACTATCGATCTCACTCCACGGGACACCACGGGACACTACGGGACACTTGTCGATCTCACTATCGATCTCATTATCGACCTCACTCAGCGGGACACCACGGGACACCACGGGACACCTTGGGACACCACATCGATCTCACTATCGATCTCACTATCAATCTCACTCAACGGGACACCACGGGACACCACGGGACACCTTGGGACACCACATCGATCTCACTATCGATCTCACTATCGATATCACTCAACGGGACACCACGGGACACCACGGGACACCTGTCGATCTCACTATCGATCCCACGTTTTGGGACACCACGGGCAACCACCGGACACCGCGGGGCACCACATCGATCTCAATATCGATCTCACTATCGATCGGGACACCACGGGACACCGCCAGGGCCACCGCCAGACGGACTGGCAGAGGACAAACATTTGTCTTGACTTCGCCCTAGCAACGGCGGGTTCATTCTCTCGCGCGCCCACGCAGATTCGCCTCGCCCGCACGCACGACACGAACGAGACGAACGGATTTCCCGGTTGGGGGTCTCCGCTCCACTGCGATCTCACCCCCCAACCTCGGACAGAAGGGGAGGGCAATAACAGGAACAAGACGAGTCGGACGAACAATAAGATCAAGGGAAGGAGGAGAAGGGGAAGGATGGACACGGCCACGACGAGAAGGAATCGAATCCTACGATATAGCTCGCGCTGGGGCGACGGCGCCAGTCTGAACGACGGAAGCAATGCACCCATCTGGAAACGCGGCCAACTTTGCAACGGGACAACCATTCAAGAAGGGCCGACACCGCTCCGATTGAAAGACAATGCAACGTACCAGCGCTTGACAGTCTGTGTGTGGGTGTGGGCATTCTCCTTGCGAAAGACCCCGCAACA